GGCGAAGGGCCCCCGCAGCAAAAAGCTGCAAAATGGAGGCTGGTGCTGGGTGGGTGCAGGCTGGGCTGCCGGGGAGTGGGGAGAACAATCAGCCCCCCCCCACCCCGCTCCAGGTAGGGCAAGGAGCCACCGGGCCCCTCGCAGTACCCCTATGCTGCTAGAGCTGGGAGGAGTTGGGGGTTGGGCGAGGATGCAGGCCCCAGAGGGCTGAGGCGGCTCCTGAGGCCCCTTGCTCCTGCGCTGTGGTTTGCTTGTGGCTTTTGCCCTGCCCCCCTTGGCTGTGGTTGGGGGGCTGCTTTGCTGTCGCAGCAAGGTAGGGCAAGGAGCCACCGGGCCCCTCGCAGTACCCCTATGCTGCTAGAGCTGGGAGGAGTTGGGGGTTGGGCGAGGATGCAGGCCCCAGAGGGCTGAGGCGGCTCCTGAGGCCCCTTGCTCCTGCGCTGTGGTTTGCTTGTGGCTTTTGCCCTGCCCCCCTTGGCTGTGGTTGGGGGGCTGCTTTGCTGTCGCAGCAAATGGAGAACGTAGAAGAATAAAATGGAGTCAGAATGACAGGGCTCCCGCCCCCTCTTCCCTCCACCCCCCCGTGTCCCATGGCCTCTCTGGGGCTGGGTGTGTGTGAATTTTCTCCTAGTCACTCTTGATCCTCCAGGACACTGTTTCCGAAGTGGGCTTCCCCACGCCTAGCTTGGTTCCGGTGTGGTGCGGGCAGGTGCTGGCCTTTTCTCTAACCCTCACCCCTATGCAGCAGCTTCAGCTTTCTGCTCATCCTGGCCTGACGAAGTTCAGCAGTGAGTTCATACAATGATGGTAACAAAAATGGCTTCAGGATCAAAAGGGTGTTGTTAACCGGGACCAAACATCATAGTGTTGAATGGGAAAACTTAGCTGCAGGGTTTATAAATTGTAAAGGTCTAGTTCAGTACACTTAGCAGGATGATTTTTTAAAAAATGGCTTTGAGCTTTATTGGAGAAATGCCATGGTTCTAATTCATAGCATCTTCCATCCCTCCATCTGCTATACAAATGTTAGCAAGTTCCCCCTCATAAAACCTCTGATAGGTAGGTGCAGTAAGAATCCTTTTTACAGCTGACAAAGTGCAGGTAAGTGACTTGCCCAAAGATGGAAAACCCAACCTGAAGATACTTATTTATCACATTGTGCAGATGGTGATGCAGAATTACAAGGAGACAATGTACAAGAGTTTAACTGAAAGACTAATGTATCCATCAGCTACTCTATAACAAAAGTCTTGATTCTGCCAGTGTGTGGAGTCCCTTTGGCCCATTGCAGAACTGGATCCTGACACCCCACTCCTGCAAAAACACCAATGCATTTGTGTGCACAACTCCCTGTAGGACCAAAGCTAAATGCCACATATCTTTCAACTGGATCCCTCTAGGTGGGCCTCTGTGGCCACGCTAGGGCCCTGTGGCAATGCCAAGCCCCATGGAAGTCAACTTTGGGGGCACTCAGGTAGATACAATTGCAGGACCTGGATATTAAAGACTGTTATTCCATTCAGGGATTCTAATGATATCCTGCATCAGAGAAAACACATGTGTTTTTTATTCAGGTTGTAGGGTTATATAATCCACATTAATTGATTAGTTGAAATCTAGTCAATTAAAAAAAACCTACAAAAGTACAAGTAGTTTCAGATCTTACTCCTTCCAAGTGCCAACTTTTGTGATTTTTACAACCACATTTTTTCCTTCCTAGGAGTTCTGTTTGAAAGGCTCTATCCCACAACCTAAAGATTCCAACAGTGAAACTGTGCAAAGGCTTAATATATTGTCTGGTGCACAAAGGAAACAAACTAAAAAATGGAGAACTATGTTTCTTCCATCTCTTTCCGTCCCCCTAAGTTGTGCTATGAGCATTAGTCCTCTTGCCAAAAAAAAAAAAAAAAAAAAAAAAGACAGGAATGATTTTTTTTCCTCAGTTGATGATGTCTCTTTAATATAATAGCTCAGAATTAATAATGATCTATTCACCATATCAGTTATCCCAAACTGATACACTCACTTTTACAGATTCTTTTTTTATAAAATGCTATAAAATACAGTTTTCAGTATATATGGAACTGTGTATTGAAGTTCATTTTAAGAAAACAACAAAAACCTGAGGCCTGATTCACATTTGCACTAAGGACCCTTCCTACCTATGGCTCCGGATACATGAATGGGTCTAACTTTAATTAACCTCAAATTTCAGGCCCATTTTCAGTGCCACAATGGTGTAATTCCGCATTAAGGTCTCTTTGCACTGCCAAGGTGTTGCAAAGGGGTCAAAGAGCATGTCTGCACTGCACATGAAGGTGTTTGATCATAGCATAGGTAGGCATATCCATGCTAACTTGAATTTAGCTAGCATGGATAACAAATCAGGCCTGCACTTGTAAACATTCTGACTATAAATGAGAAGCGAGTACACTACATAGTATTTTGATCACCTTTCTTTATACGTTGAGTTCATAATGAGGAAGAGACTTCAACAGAGTATATATGGCAGAGCTCTGCAAACTATGGGATGCGCCAATCGGGGATGCAGAGGAATATCCGGGGAAGTGCAGTAAGGCCCACACCAGTTACAGTGGGAGGCAGGAAGAGAGCTCTTACCTGTCCCCATCTCTGCTCTGGCTGTGGCACCAGTACCTGTCCCTGTCCCCAGCCTTGGCTGTGGCTCTGTTCCCAGCCATGGGCCCAGCTGTGGCTTTGTTCCTGCCCCCAGCCTCCGCTCCTGGCTGTGGTTCTGTTGCCAGGCTGGGAGCAGAGCTGCACCTGCCATGGGCCATGCTGTGGCTCTACTTCTAGGCCTGAGGCTGGAGTTGGCGACAAGTCCCCATTCCTAGCCCTATTCTGCTCCTGGCCCCAGACCCACTCCCATCCTCAGCCCTCTTACCCTGTCTGCATTTGCCTGCAGGAGCCACAGTCCCGTTCCTGAAGGAGTGTGTGTGGACAAGGACAAGGAGGGACACGACCCTGAACATTTTGGGGGCCACTGACATAGAGGGTGCCAGAGATGTATGTGATAAATCATGAATTTGAAGGATAAAATGACTAATTTGAGGAGTGTGACAGAAGGAATAGGAAGACATGTCAGGGCAGGAGGTAGTTGAGAAACTGAAAAGAGAATAATTTTAAATCATGTATTAGATCAGAAATTCTCTGAAATTCCTAGTGAAGTCCACAAAGCACTAGTCAGCTGTCTAGGAGCAACTGACTAGTTAGTAGGTGTAGGTGATTCCTTCTAGGTTACACCTACTGAATTCCTTTAAAATAATCTAAAATATATTAAATATTTTGCTAATATTACTTTCCTGCTTAAGCATCTGCTCTAATTGTTGCAGGAATATTGTGTGATTGTAAATGCAAAGGATGTGGTCTACAAAGCAATCTCTGTTAAGATGTGGTTCACACCATGTAAATATTTGAGAGCTCCAGTATTGCATAGTTTTAATTACATGAAAAGATCACATAGGGCTAAATTTTAAATATTTAGGTGCCTTGCAATGCAGATAGGCACTTAGTGACATCTTCAAAAGCACCTGAGGTGTCTAACTCCACTAGACACCCATCTGTACATTAGATGCCTAAGTACCATTAACATCTGGGCCCTAATTTCTGGTTGTGTAAGTTTTAGTGGCCTCCCAAACACTTCACAGGATTTGCTATATAACCTTTATGGATGAGGGTGAACTAGGGATATGTTGGCTGTGTCTACACTGGGCCACTTATTCCAGAAAATCAGCCGCTTTTCTGGAATAAGCTGCAAGCTGTCTACACTGGCCCTAGAATTTCCGGAAAAGCAACAACACTCTACTGTACAAAATCAGCCGCTATTCCGGAAAAGCTACGCTGCTCCCGCTCGGGCATAAGTCCTTATTCCGGAAAAGGGCCAGTGTAGACAGCCCAGTAGTCTTTTCCAGAAAAAAGCCCCGATCGTGAAAATGACGATCGGGGCCCTTTTCCGGAAAAGCGCGTCAACATTGGACACAGATGCTTTTCTGGAAAAAGGGCTTTTCCGGAAAAGCAGCCTGCCAATGTAAACGCTCTTTTTCCGGAAATACTTATAACGAAAACTATTCTGTTTTAAGCATTTCCGGAAATTCATGCCAGTGTAGACACAGCCGTTGACCTCACATTTGACAGGCCATTTGACAACAATCAAAGGTCATTTGACAGCAATCACTCCAGGCCAAGAAACCAGCAATGACGAGCTATTAACACGCATTCGTCCAGCCATCAAGCCTCCAAGCAGTAGGTTTGATGCTTCTCTCAAGTGCCTGCACAACCTCTCCACTCCACCAGTGCCTTTCCAACACACTGTATTCCATCACTATGTAAGCTCTTTTTACAACCAGTGAGCAACAATTACCACAGATTGCTGGGTCCTAGAGATTATCAAGTGCGGATGCTCGGTCCCCTACTTTCAGTTCTCCCAACCTCCCCATACTTCTATAGGGACCCCTCTCACGAAAAACTGCTCTATCAAGAGGTACACCACCTTCTACACATAGGAGCTATAGAGAGGGTACCCGAGCAATACCAGGGCAAGGGATTTATTCAAATTACTTCCTCATGGAAAAAAGAATGGGGGATGGAGACCCATCCTTGACCTCTGCCATCTAAACAAATACCTCTTTAAATAGTGATTCAAGATGGTCACACTCATGGTAATTATCCCAGCACTAGACAAGGGAGACTGGTTCACATCACTCAACCTCCAAGATGTTTATTTTCATATAACCATACACTCAGCATGCACAGGTGCTTCCTCCAATTTATGGTGGCTTCAGCTCATTTCTAGTACAGAGTTTTGCCTTTCAGGCTTTCATCTGCCCCCAGAGTCTTCTCCAAGACCCTGGCTATAGCTTCATACCTTCATAGCCAAGGCATCATAATATTTCCATACCTAGACGATTGCCTCATTTGAGACCCTTCACATCAGGCCACAAGAGATATGTTCCTCTTCACCAAGAGGTTCTTAGAATCTCTCAGCCTTGTTATCAACGAGCAAAAATCTACCCTCTTCCTGACCCAATCCCTAGAATTCATAGGAGTGCGTCTTGATTCTACCACATCATGCACATTGTGCCTACACTGGGCCACTTATTCCAGAAAATCAGCCGCTTTTCTGGAATAAGCTGCAAGCTGTCTACACTGGCCCTAGAATTTCCGGAAAAGCAACAACACTCTACTGTACAAAATCAGCCGCTATTCCGGAAAAGCTACGCTGCTCCCGCTCGGGCATAAGTCCTTATTCCGGAAAAGGGCCAGTGTAGACAGCCCAGTAGTCTTTTCCAGAAAAAAGCCCCGATCGTGAAAATGACGATCGGGGCCCTTTTCCGGAAAAGCGCGTCAACATTGGACACAGATGCTTTTCTGGAAAAAGGGCTTTTCCGGAAAAGCAGCCTGCCAATGTAAACGCTCTTTTTCCGGAAATACTTATAACGAAAACTATTCTGTTTTAAGCATTTCCGGAAATTCATGCCAGTGTAGACACAGCCGTTATGTATAAGCTTTTGCTACACTTAATGTTATAGACTACACTCATTTTCTCCCCCCTTCCTCTCTGCCTGTAAATTTTTTAGCAGACTGGCCAGCAACCCGGCTCAGTCCTTGCTCATGCCGGGCCCGGGCCCTACTTCCGCTGCGGCTGTGCATTTAAAGTGTATTAGGACCTAGGTGGGCAGGCAGCCTGGATTAGTTCTGGCTCACACCAGGTCCGGGAGCTCAGACTACCTCCCTCCGGACAAGGGCTGTTGCCACCCTGCGCTGTGGCCTCTGTATCACAAGCAGCAGCACAGGGCAACAGTCAGTCAGTCTGCAAGGGGAGCTGGTTTTTAAACTGGTTCCCCTTGTGGACCAGCTCCCGCCTGGCATCCCATGCTGCTGCCTCTGGATACAGAGGTGGCAGAGGGCTCCTCGGGAGTGGAGCTAGAGTGCACTGGCTGTCGGCCCCCCCCCCCTTTGGGTACTATAGAATAGTCGAGTAACTGATAAGAATTCATGAGGTTACTCAACTGTTCAATTAACTGATATTTAACATTTCTAGGGTGGAGTAAGTTATCTACTATATATTTGGGAGATGTTGTCTGTCCATCTGATTGTTCAAGATCTCCTCCTAAGCAGTAAGAGCTAGGACCACCAAATTCCTCAGATCTTAACATAAAGCAAAGTCAAGGTTTGGTTGTGCCAGGAAAACAGGATGTGCCTGGAATGGGATTGGTTCTCATAAAAAAATACAGAAAAGCAACAGAATCACCAGGCAGGTGAAAGGAGCTGGCTGGGGCCATGTTCCCTCCACTCCCTGTCTGGGACTGCCCCAGCTCCAAGCTTCTCACCCCCACAGGCGCCCATTAATACCACAGAAGAGTGCGGCTCTCAACCACTTTCCAAAATCTTGGGAGTGGCCCCCCCTGGGTTATTGCCCACCCCGGGTTACAGGATAGGCTGAAGGCGTGGAGTTTCATAAAACCAGGCTATGGGGCAGGTCAGAGTATCTCATGGACATACTCGGTGTTCTGTTTCTTGTTCAGCATCGTCAGAGTTGTTTACCAAATTCCATTTAAAGGATCAGTGAGGTTGCACGTGTGTTGCTGGGGGCATTGTTATTGTGACTGATGCATAAGAAGGAAAAACCGCAGCTTGACTTTCAGATCCCAAGCTGAGTTTGCAGGGCTGGTGTTAATGGCGGTTTTATTTATTTGTAACATGATATACATGAGGCAATGTGTAGATGGGGCATGTGTATTTGGGACATTCTGATTCCCCACCTTGGTTCAGTAATGAAAGGTATATTTTTTCTGATTTATTTCCAACTTTTCTTTCTTTTCCCTATCTCCAGTATATCGTGTTAGTGCAACCAAGTTTCATTTCTGGAGGCTGCTTTAAAAAGGCACATCCATGTTCAGTTCCTGACGTATCCTGCAATATTCGTATCCCTAGTCAAATTTAAATTGCAGGTCCAGGTCCACGTACACCTTGCCAAATCTTTAAACCTTCTTACCTTATAAAATCATATGAAAAAGTCCATATGAATTCCTATTCATTCTTGTTCTTTCTTTCATTGTTATTGGCTTTTAGCATGTGTGGAGTGAAAGTGAGGACTGCTTACCGTTCCTACAGTTGGCACAGGACTACATCTCTTCCTGTGGTAAAAAGACACTCCATGAAATACTGGAAAAAGTCTTCAAATCTTTCAGGCCGGTAGGTGAATGTTTTATGTCTATATATTTACTATATTTGTAATTTTAATAAAACATGCCATTGAGAACAAGACAAATTTTTCACAGTGACTTATTTGTCCTGTCAAATAGCTCAAACAAGTTAACAGCAAGTAGAGGGAACTGGTTCTTGTATATGAGATGCCTTTTTTATTTCTAGTTCCTTATTTGACAAATTGAGATTCCCTGCTGTTGTGGGAGGCAAATTGATGTCCCAGCCAGCAGAGCTGGCACTGCACCCGGATGATGAATTGTGTGTGGTTGATCTAGCACTGAGTATGAAGAATGGAATACTACACTCCATGTGGAACTTGGTGGCAGAATCATTTCCTGGCACTGGAATTTGGGAGTTTTTTCAAGAATTTGTATAAAGGAAATACAGTTTGGGGAAGCTAAAGGAAATACAATTTTGTGTTTCAAACTGTTTTCAGAATTTAGCATTTAGGTCACCTGATGTTTGAGAGAGCTCAGGATAGCTTCTCCGCAAGTGAATGGAATACTAATCGTTTGACTTTGTTTTTATTATTTTGCTCTTAACTTTTCCTGCTCACCAGTCCTTATGTAGCACCAATATTTGTGAGGCTAATATGCCTCATGTTACTTCACTAGCCATCTTCTGCCAGAGATCTTTATTAAAACATGGCTTTGTCAAGGTGAAGCGAATTTGTTGGTCTCAGCATAGTTCCAACTGGACATTTGTTCTTACTGAACCTCCACATAATACAGTATATTGTCAGCTTCTCCTTTTGAGTGGGCTAGGACTGGAATAACTAAAGAGTAGAGGTTAATTGGCAGAGTCAAATGCTTTTACTCTGCTTGATCATGTCAGTAAGTGGAGCTGGTTATCATGGTTTTGAATTGTTGGTGAAAAATGGAACATTTTAGACAACTTTTTTCTCTTTTGGATGATATTTTGATCAGCTAGTCATGAGGACTAAACTTCATGCCAAGAGTTTAATGCAAAAGGCAAGTGGCCAGGAGTGTGCCCATTAAATACTGGGCCTCATTCTACTCTGTGTTGCCAGCCCACACTGCTTTGTTTACTTAAAGGACTCCCCTTGGCTGGAAATGGTGAATCGGAGCCAATGGGAACTATGAGGCTCCGTGGCTATGGACACTTTGAGTAAACAAGGTAGAGCGGGCCTGCTAGTAGCTTTCCGGAAGTGGGTCTGTGGCCCACTTTGAGAAACACTGAACAAAAGCAGTGGTTTCAAACCAAATTAGTTAAAGGATTGCAAACCCCAGTTTGGATACTTTTATTTCTGTTTAAATCAGGTTTAAGTTTAGCTTAAGGTCTATTAAGGAGTTGCTTTAAAATAAACCAAATAAAGCTGCTCTTAAACTGAAGAAATAAAAGGTAATAGAGTCTAAGAAATAGATTTTTCTGAGGCCAGAAAAGACCATTGTGATCATCCAGTTTGACACAAGCCATAGAATTTCAGAGTAATTCCTGCATAGAGTCCATACATTCTGGTTTAGCTACAGTGTATCTTTTAGAGTGATACCCAGTCTTTACTTAAAGACTCCACATGACTGAAAATTGTCCATATCCCTAGATAAATAGCCACTGAAAAAAGTTCCGCTCACTTGAAAACTTGCTCCTTATTTCTAGTTTGAATTAGTCTAGCTTCAGTTTCCAACTAATGTATCTTCTTTGCTAGATCAAATTACCAGTGTTCTCTTTGCCATGTACTTATAGACTATGATCAAGTCACCAGTTAACTGTCTCTTGGACAGACTAAATTGAGCTTCTTTAGTTTCTTCCTATAAGGTAGATTTTCTAGACTAGTACAGGCAGTCCCCGACTTACGTGGATCCGACTTACGTCGGATCCCTAGATACGAACGGGGGGAGGCAATTCCCGCACATGCGCAGCAGCATTCCCGGGGCTCGCTCACCTGGGTCCTAGAATCCACCTTCTCCTCCTCTTCGGCCGGCTCCAACTGGCCTCTGCCTGCAGCAGCTGGCCACAGGGACAGGGATCCCGCAGAGCTGCCGGGCAGAGGAAAAGTGCCTCCCCCCCCCCCCCTGCCAGCAACAGGCTGCCCCCTCCCCTGAGCAACAGGCTGCCGAACAGCAGACAAAAGCAGCCTCTCTGCCCCTCCTCCCCTCTATACATGCCGGGCTCCCGGAGCGCCGCAGCGTCCCCGGGGCTCGCTCACCTGGGTCCTAGGATCCTCCTCCTCCTCGGGCCGGCTCCGACTGGGGTCCCGCAGAGCTGCCGGGCAGAGGAAAAGTGCCTCCCCCCCCCCCCCTGCCAGCAACAGGCTGCCCCCTCCCCTGAGCAACAGGCTGCCGAACAGCAGACAAAAGCAGCCTCTCCGCCCCTCCTCCCCCTATGCATGCCGGGCTCCCTGGGCAAACAAAGACTCCACCAAAACAAACAAAGTGCTGGCCTCATTGTGTTAGCAAAAAAAGGACCCTCCTCCTAGAACCCTGGGTGGTGTGTGGAAATAAAGCTATTAGCTCAAAGCATGGTGCAGAGCTGTTTGGTATTTGATGAGTTACTCCTTTAGTCCTGAGTTTGTCACAGGGACAGAAATAGATGTGAAATCTTCTGAACAGGGGAACAGACAGCAAAACAAACATTAGAGGGGAGTTAACCTTTCCCTATGCTATCCAAAACTAAAAAAAATGTTTGGCTAGAGTTTCCCCTACAATATGTACCAGTTCCGACTTACATACAAATCAACTTAAGAACAAACCTACAGTCCCTATCTTGTACGTAACCCGGGGACTGCCTGTAGTTTTCAACCTTGTGGAGTGCAGAGCCCATTTGTAAACCTTGATTGCCTGTCATGACCCTGTAAATAGCTGAAGCGTAAAAACCTCTCGCTCTTTAAATATTTCTGACCCACAATATATAATATATATCTGAACATAGTAAGTACACTGTGCATACCACAGGAGTAGCTCTTGCAGGTCCTCTCCCACAGAATTGTCTGGGCTTGGTTCCCTGCTCCAGGCATTGCAACCTGGTGCATAGGGTTGCAGTGGCACTCACATTTGGCCCAGCTAGCCCCCCATTGTCATGGATGAGGGGGCATCTGGGCATTTGGCCCAGCCAGCTCCCCTCATGAGCACTGTGACCCTTTGTACCTGGTTGGGGAGCTGAGCCAGCAAGCTCATAAGACCAAAGCCACAGGGGGTGTCACTAGAGGTGGGGTAAGTGAGGTGCAAGTTGTGCTACATATTCCCTCTCCACACACACAAGGATCTTTCATGTGACTCTTTTGACACATTCTGGCAGCTTAATTTAGAGTTCTGACGTGCAGGTTGAAAAACCAGTTCTGGGCCTCAGGTCACTTTTATAGCTGTGTTTACATAGGAGTTTCCACTGGTATAATTAAACTGCTGCAAGTTTGTATATAGGAAAGTCATGACACTTAGCTATTTATTGGAGAGTTTTTCTTCTGTTGCATATTATGGAGTAAGGCAAGTACATGCACAGCAAGATTTTTTGTTTTTAAAATACAAGCAGTGGAACTTTTATCAGCTACCCTGTACCTGGAAACTAGGGATATAAATTTTCGATTAATTGGCTAAACGAATAGTCGATGCAATTTGCATCGACTATTCGATTAGTTCATAAGGAAGCGTCCGCCTTTGAAATATAGCAACAGCCTCAGGGCTTTTGCTACACTTCAATGGCAAAAGCATTGCAGGGAGCACAGGACCAGTGGGAGACTCAAGTGCTGCCGATTTGAAATGCCGTGGGGAGCACGGTGTCAGGCTCCATGTGGTGTTTCAAAGTGGCAGAGCCGCATGGAGCCTGGAGTCAGTGGGGGAGTTGGGGACTCTGGTTCGGGGCTCCACGTGGTGCTGCTCCTTTCTCTCCCTGCCCCCCTGCTGCCTCTTTCTGATAGAGGCAGCAAAGGGAGGAAGTGACTAGTCGACTAGTGATTCACATCCCTACTGGAAAGAGGAATTTTCAAATCCTTGTGATTTTTGCAAAATCAAAACCAGTTTTCATCAGCATCTCAGAAGACACTTTTCCTTTCCCTGGGAATGCTCACCCTGTCATGGCAAGTATTGAACCCTTTTCACTTCCACACTAGATTATTTTTAACAAATGATAAGAAAATATATTTCATGGAATAAGGAAAATATTTATTTTGTATGTTTTCACTCTCAAAAATGACTGATTCTTTATGGTCAAACTTAATGAAAACATCACTCTCAGACAGAGACCAGGCCAGGCAAATTTCAGCTCAAACAATGAAAGCCAAGAAAAGTTATATTCTACTAAAAATGGGGTCTAGGTTTTTAGGAGTGACTAATAATTTTGACTGTCCAGTTTGAAACCTTTCAAAGGGGCCCAATATTCAGAAGGTGAGCAGTCATCACTTTCAAGCTGGGAACTCAGTATCATTAGAGACACTTCTGAAAATCTTGAATAGGATTTTTAGAATGAAAATAGTTAGGCAACCTGTGCTATAGCTTTAAAAACAACCCGTAGTACCATGGCCCCTAGCTAAGGGTATGTCTACACTTGCACCCTAGTTCGAACTAGGGATGCAAATGTAGCCGACCGAAATTGCTAATGAAGTGGGGATTTAAATATCCTGCGCTTCATTAGCATGATCTTCATTAGCATTACTCAGCTCAACAGCTGTTTTGAAGTGAAAGTGCGCCCTTTGGTTCAAACTAACATTACTGCTCAAAAAATGAACCAAGGGGTTTGGTTCGAACTAACGTGTCCCAGCATGCACTTTCACTTTCGAAACAGCTGTTGATTGGAGTAACATGCTGGTGGGATATGTAAATCCCGCTTCATTGACTATTTCAAATGCCTACATTTGCAACCCTAGTTCGAAGTAGGGGGCAAGTGTAGACATACCCTTAGAGACTAACCCACTGCCTCAGATGAGCAGAGAGACTAACAGCAGGGGTTCTCAAACTTCATTGCACCGCGACCCCCTTCTGACAACAAAAAATTACGACTTGACCCCAGGATGGGTAGCAAAGCCTGAGCCCAAGCCAAACCCCAAATCCTACCATCCTGGGTGAGGGTGCAGGGCCAAAGCCCAAAGAGTCCAGTACCAGGCAGGGGGCCAGTAACCTGAGCCCCATTGCCCAAGATGAATGTCTTTGGGGTCCCGACCCATAGTTTGAGAACCATTGCTCTAGTGCTGTTGTGCCTTGCTCCTAGATCTGAGGATTTCCAAGTGCTTTGCAAACATTCATTCAATTTCACTCCAACTCTGTGTGATTCATTGACAATAAAGAGGGATATACACATCTCTTGCTGAGGTATTGTGAGGTTTAATTAGTTAGGCCCCAGACGGCTCTCCACTTGTCTGTGCGGAGATCTTTTCCCAGTGTATCTGTGAGGTGGAGCAGCTAAGGAGGGAGTGTAGCCTACATGACAACATTCCTTTCCACACATTCCTCTTTTTGCACCCACTATGGAAACCCCCATGTTAGTCCATCAGGATGGAGATTTTATTGAGCTTTAGAGGGAGCTGTGATGAGGAAAACCAATGTCTGTAGAATGTCCTTACATGGCTTTTAACTCATGCTTAACAGGTCAAGTTACAGCCTGGATTCCCCACTAAGTTTTAATTTAGTCAGTTTGGTTTGTATGAAAGGCAGTGTGACTAGACTAAATGTCTAGACTAGACTTTTAAAATGTGTTAGCTGCCACATGTTAGCTAACATCACATCTTTAAATCCTAGTTTGGATGAGGCAAAGTGTCCCTGATGGCTTTTCTATGAGGAGAGTGAATTGAGAGAAATACCGTGAGTTTCCTGTAGGGATGGGAAAGGTTAACCAGTAAGCATCATTCTTTAACTCTGCCCCAGCCTCATGGGTCCCACCACAGACAGGCGCTCTGGTCATCCGGAGCAGTGTCTGTCCACAGTAGGCAAGGGTCTTCCCACAGGCAGGGGCTTCTTCAGCCCCGCTACAGATAGGGGGAGCAGTTAACCTGTTAAACAATACATGTAATTAGTTAAACAATTAAATAGGATTTTACATCCCTCGTTTCCTGGGCTTCTAATCAGCTCCCAGGGCTTTTATCTACAGGAGGTTACAGTTTACCTATTCTTATTTAAAGAGATTGTTATTTATTCACTGCATACCCAAAAGTATTCTGGGCCCCATATAGACCAATAAAACAAAACATTGCCTCTGCCCTGTTGTTCTGACTCTGTAAGGCTGTATCTAGACTACATTCCTCTTTCGAAAGAGGAATGTAAATTAGGTAAATTGAAAGTGCAAATGAAGCGTGTATTTAAATATCCCATGCTTCATTTGCCTATTTGCATCCGATTGCTGTTTTGAAAAAGGGTATTTCGAAAGTGAAACCACAGCCTACATGTGGTTCTTTCGGGGAAAAAAAACCAATCCCTTTTTCGAGAGAACCCATACTCCTCATTTTTCCAGCAGTACGGGTTCTTTTGAAAAAGGTTTTTTTTTTCAGGAGAACGTCTAGACTGCAGTTTCACTTTTGAAATACCCTTTTTCAAAACAGCGATCGGATGTGAATATGCAAATGAAGCATGAGATATTTAAACCACGCTTCATTTGCACTTTCGATTTGCCTCATTTACATTCCTCTTTCTAAAGAGGAATGTAGTTTAGACATGTCCTCGGGGTCTAGATTAGAGTTTATGGTCTAGGTACATCCATAGTTCCCTCTGCCATGTCTCTAATGCATCTCCTGTAGAATGTTGATGGAGAGTAAATGTAGATCATTTTAACTTTCAGAATAGCCTATGTTCCCAATGCTAGCAAAAAATAAAACAAATAGTAAAATCCCCACAAAACTCATTGATTTAATGGTATTGTGCATCTGTGTTTCATCTCCTCAAACACACCTGAGAGTAGAATCACTTATATTACTTAAGCCACATATGTACATATTTTAATACTTATTTATTAGATTTCAATAACATACATTATCACCAACCCTTAGATCTGCCCTTTACAAACTATTGGATTATTTGGATACCACTGTGAGTATACAAGACACTTTGCACTGGTTAAAATATATGTATAAAAAAAAAATCTCAGGACCATAATCCCTACTCAAAGCATTTATTTACAATTCAGTCATATGCCCTAAATATAAATGACTGTTACTCTTCTCTGATTAGATGTACCGGCAACATCTTTCTGCAAATTCCAGTCCTCCAAGAATAAGTGCTACTTTCAGTATGAAAGATTAAATCCAAGTAGGATGTTTTCTATGTAAAGCTGATATGCCTTCTGTCTTATGTAGGGGTATGTCTACACTGGGAAGGTTTGGCAGTGAAAATGCTGTCGACAGGCAAAAGTCACCAAAAGTGAAAACTGGTCAAACCGTTTTTTCTGCCTCCCATTGTCAACATTTCATAACCACATTGTTAGCACCCTGTCGGCAGTGAGAGAGAACTGAAAACCGATCAAACTGTTTTTTCTGCCTTTCGTTGTTGACATTTCATGGCCACATTGCTAGCACCATGTCATGGTAGCAAAGCAGTATCCGTAAGCATCACATCCCTGCGCTTCTTGGGATTTCCTATGAGTTCCACCACAACATTTTCAGCTGCTGGGAACAGAATCATGAGTAGCTCTGTGAGCTCTCTGTGCTGAGGAATGTCAAAGCAGTGCACCAGTCTTTCCAGTCCTCCCCCTGCAGCAGCAGTCTGTCTGTGGCTGTGTTCCTAGTGCAGGGCAGAACAGGAGCGCTTAGGCTTCTAGGCCACGTAGGCTCAGATCCTCAGAGGCATTTAGGGACCTAAAATCCATGGATTGAATCCCATAAGGATTTCAGAGGACTAGCAAGATGCTTCTTTGGGGTAGACTCCTCATTTAACTAATTAATTTTAGATAAGGAGTTGTAGGAGTGTGAGAGAGATCTATCTATCTAATCTATCTATCTCCATCCTCTCATTACGGAAGTGGATCCCTATTTGTTTTTTGTTTTTTTACCCTCATTATATGTTTATATCTGTTTATACTTCTTGTGCTTCATTTTGCAGAAGAAGAGCTAAAAAGTTCCCTCATTCCCAAAATGAAGGTTAATATTCTCATTTATGTGGTTAGTTTTCCCGCAGATCAAGAGATGGTGAGCCCAATACCCATGAGCTTCGTTGGGCCCAAAGGCCACAGCTGGGTATTATCTGTGTGTCCAATGTATAGTTTTTTGAAAAACTAACTTACATTTTTAAAAATTGGCTATGTAGTTTTCCCTCTCCTAGAGGAGATGCTTGTTTTTGCCCCTCCTGTGAAGACAGCAGGTGCATCACTCCCCAAAGAAAGTGCATCATGCATGTAGGGTTGCTCTTTCAGTCTTGGCAGGGTAAATACTTACTATTACAATAATGCTTAGCACATGATTATGCTTTGCAGATATTAATAGCTATTTAAGTATGTTTTGTGAAGAGTCTGGTATGAGATTTTCAAAACAGATGCATTTTTAGACTGGGATGTGTTTACATATTCTTGAATTTCATTGACTTGCCAATCTCTTTTTGGAGGAAAGGGAAAAGTTCAAATAGTTTTTCCATCTTCCAAAACAAAGAGTTGCCATGACAGTGATCTGAAACATTATAGAGCTGAGTCATCCAAACTTTGCCCAGCTGAGAGATGTATTGGTACCTTGTTAAGGAATCTAAATCTAATTTGCAGAAATTTGAAAGGATTGTGGGCCAACTTTGATTTTCATATGCAGCTATTTCTTGCTATGACTATTGAACCCTGCATAAAATGCTCCCACTTGACTGAGAGAGTGAATAGTTCCAGAGGAAGCAATTGCATGCTGGGATCATCTGTCTTTTAGGGCTTTAATACCTATGGCTCCCCCATCTAATTCAGTCGGCTGCACTCTGGCCGTTCCTGTGGATAGGGATAGAATGGTTTCCTTTTTGGTGCAAAAGATCTCCTCTTATGGTTACTGAATGCAATGCAAACAGAGAATACTACATAGGGTCTTTTTTAATTTAGAGCATTGGTTGTATTACCTACCCTGAGCATTCAAAAATCATGACTGGCTAAAAAATCATAAAGTGTCTTTTCCTCCCTACTCCAAAAAACGTTTGGGGATGATTTTATTTGTACATTGGTTTCTGAGCCTTCAGGGTGCACTTGGTTCACATTTTGAAGTTTTGTTATACAACCATGAGGACTGGGAATTTACTTAAAGAAAGCTGAGATTCTCACATAGTCTCGTGACTCTGGGGCTTTCAGGAAAAAGCCAAATATTGGGGTGACCATGGCATCAGTTTGATCTTTGCCATTGATTATTATACCTTCCCATTTTCTCTTCTTTAAAAATAGTTACTGGGGCTTCCAGATGTCGATGATGATGCATTTGAAGAGTATAACGCAGATGTAGAAGAGGAGGAACCAGAAGCCGATCACCAACAAATGGGTGTCAGCCAGCAGTAATTATATGAGGAATTAAAAGATCTCAATCACTTGATAGCAGGTGGGGTCCTGTGCTCCTGCGTTAGCATTTTTGAATTAGCGCATCACATGGGAAACTTGGCTCCCAAAATTAAAGTTTAAAAAAAGTTAATAAAAACATAAATATCTTTGTGATGAGCTTTGCTAAGAAGTGACCTGATTTTCACTCCTGTTTCAGTGGGGTTTCTATGGCGTCGTCTTGGTAGCATTCTGCCATCATTAATTTAGAACTAGTTTTGTCGCTGACTGTCTCTTTGACTTGTGTTTGAGAATAACATTTACTGACATGAATGTAGAGTACTTTGAATGTAGGAACTATTGGATAGTGTGTAAAGTACTCACATATGATCTTATGGAGGAAAATGAATGCAGAGAATAAATGCAATCTGCACTTTTTCGTTTTAGTTCATTTTTTCCCCCTGTACTGTCAGACAGAGTATCAAATTGAGAGCTTTTGCCTATATAGCACCAGTTTCTTAATGGTTAATATTGCAGAAGTGCACATAAAGTGCAGCACATTTTAATTTTTCTTAACACCACCTGAATGTTCAGGTGCTGGGTTAATCACTGGGAACAGTTAGGACATTTGTGTGATTAGGACATGTGATGATATATATTGGTACTTTGATGCCATCTGTAGTAAAGCCAAATGCTGTTTTAAAAGAAATTGAATGAGTTGAAAAAATGGCCATTGTGTATTCTGCTCCTGCACGAAAATCAGCTTAATTGGCTTTTAATAAAACAATGACATTATTCAAATCTTGTAGCATCCTGAATTAAAGAGCAACTTAACTTTGGAGCCCTAAGGATATAAACCAGCACCTGGCTCTTTAAATTATAATAGAATCTTTCTTCACTCTGGGCTTTGTTCTTCAGTGTCTTGTACCTAGTGTAGCTATTCACATTTTTCAAAGTAGGTGTAAAATGCTACCAAACCAGAAAGGTAGGGCCTGATTCTCATTCAGGCCCCCTTTATATTGCTCTCACTGTGTAAAAAAGCCACAAAGGGAAAACGGATGTAATTTATGCCCACCTTTAAGGTCCCATTACATTGCCTAGGGTGAGTTCTCAGTTGATGTAAGTTGCCAAAGGAATGATGACAGTTTCCATCAGCTGAAGATCTGTCCCCCGGAATGGTGGAATAAGTTTTAGTGTAAATTAAAATAAGACCCTTAGCATTTTACATCTCATTTACCCAGATGTGAATGACTTCCAGGTAGATGTCAGATGGTAAGGACACACAGCTCTTAATTTACTCACCTTTTATTCTGAAAATTTAAGAAAGGGGATTCCATTCTCATACAGCAATTTTCCACTATATAAGAAAGTATTTCTCAATGTCTGTTTTTAGACAACTTTTTTTAAAAAACAAAATGTACGTCACAAACTTCAAAGCCCTTTAATACAGTGTTAGCTTTATACAAATTAACGATTAGTGATAAGAAAATGCTTGGACAATTCTCAGAAACAATTGACCCCCTTTAAAAATCCCTGTTAGTAGTAGTATTTCCTACAAGTTATGTTTGTAAAGGAAATTGTTTTAAAGGTTAGTTAAAGAGTTCATTTTCTTGGTGACTTGCATGTCTGATGAAGGTTTAGGGGATGCATAAAACTTAATTTTCTAATAGAGGCAAAACTTTATGTAACCAGGATGGAAAATGGTATTTGAATATGCACAGAGGTGTCTGCAAACACTGTAAAAGTCTGCGTTTAAGAATATCACAAAATAGACAAGAAACCAACCTTAATGAAACTTTGTATATTCTCTTGGCATGCAGGCATAAACATGATAGTCGCAACACATTTTCTATGGACTAGTGATGTGAGAACTGTGGCAGTTCACGTATAACACTGTATAGCAGTAATAGGCTTTTTGCTTACCAAAATAAAGTGTAATACCAGTGGTTTCCATTCCTGCGTTAAGTACCCAAGTTTTTCTTTCCATCAAAAAGAGACTTTACACAGAGGCAACCTTCAGAGGAGTCTTTTGGGGGTTACTTCCATAGAGTCTGATCTTTTGATTTCAGCTCACACAAATAGACCTTTTGGGACTGATTTTCCTCTGCTTTGAACTGAAAGTAATCATTGTTTGCACCTGTGCAAGGTGGGGATAAAATACTATCATTCTGATTTGCTGGCTATTTAGACTGATTTTGTATAAATGCAAATGATTATGCACACAGCTTCTGATTCTCTCTTACAATAAGGCCCCTTTGCACTGCTCTAAGGTGAGCATAGATGTAATTTGTAGGAGCCTTCATGCAAATGAGAATCAGGCCATTTGAGTGCAGTGGGACTATTTCTGTGACTAAGAACCATTTAAGTGAATGAAGAATGGAGGGTCCAGCCCTTTTGAACGACATACAATGGAGTCGTGATATATTCTGCACTTTTCTACCTTTGCTTGCATTTTGATTGATGCTGATCTGCAAATGAACTGTTGAGTATTAACATGGTTATAAGCAAACATGAAGCTGTAATTTATGAAGATAGATACATTATTTCCTGTATTCATTAATTTTTGTTTTTATGTTGAACTTTGTATTCCATGTGAGTGATTTCTGCAACTTTCCTAGGGTTCTACCCTGCAGCTTTCACTCCCATTAAATTCCCCTTGAAGCCCATAAGAATTTTGCCCAAATGAGGACTGCATATCAGGTTCCTGAAAGGGCCCAATCCTGCAAAGTCCCTGTCTCCCATTGATTTTGATGGGAGCTAAGCTTGTTGAATCACTGCTAGGTGAGGCTATTACCATGCACCATTTAAAATAAACTGGAATTTGATATAGAGAGGATAAAATATACATTTACAGGCGTATTAAATGTGAAAGAGCATGAATAGGGAATGTATTCTATCAAAAAATATTGGTTTCTTAGGCTTTGACCATATCCATTTCAGTGTTATTATGGTATTGTTTCTTATTTATCAAACAATCCAAGAAATGCTGAATTATTTAGTGGAACCACAAGGTTCCATACTTTCTATTATTATATAATTCTTCTCACTTCCCTTATCTGAGTTGGAATTATTGGCCACTTACCTAGTAAGTAAAAGGAGGGAGGCCAGGCCCGGTGAACAGAACACCCGGCCCTGTATACACGCATGGGGAAGCACATGCAAGCTGGGAGCCTGAGTCAGGGACTCTGGGGTTTCTTATTAGCTCTTCCAGTGACTCAGTCTTGACTTTAGATGAGTCACTGGGATTTCTGGGGGAGCCTGTGAGAGGAATGGATCCAGATCCCAATGGGTAATGGGTGCCTAACAGCCATATTTTCCTTGGAAAATCTCCTGTGCTTTAGTTTCCCAGACTGTAAAATGAGGATGATGGTAAATGTTTACTCACCCATATAAATATGCTTTGTGACTTAGGGATGGATTCTGGTAAGTATTTTACTATTGTCAATCCCCAAAGCAGAATAGAATGTTGGTGAAAAGAAAGTAAAAAAGCATTGGCCAAACAAGTCTTTTTCCATGTAGTGGTTTGATTTTCTAACTCAACATACATGTACCAGAACAGTGATGATCAGTCCTGACTCTTTGGAATCCAAGCTGCATTTTTGTGATGAGCTTGGGGAGATCCAGAAATAGATGCAACATTGGGGAAAAAATGAATAGCTTTTATAAATATTACAGCTATGTTATGGTGGGATGAGGATATCTCAGGGCAAGAGGCTAGAATGACATCTTTCAGGAAAAAGCCAGGATTTCTGAGAAATCACAGACCTAGTTCCAAGCGGTCTGCTTCTGGATCCCATGCAGTCCATAAAGAAACAGCTACCTGTTCCTGTATGGTGTCCAAGGGGTGTATTTCTGTATAAGTTAAAATTAGCATAAAGAGTGATAAACATATAGGGTGATGGGGGAAAGGGTGGAGAAAGGGTTAACTTAGGGCCTGTCAAGACAATAAGCACTGTAGTGATATAGCTATGCTGCCCTAGCTATGCCAAAATAACCTCATAGTGTAGATGCTTCCTGTGTTGATGAAAAGGCTTTTTTCATCATTGTAGGAACTCCACCTCTCCGACCAGTGGTAGGTGGGTGGGTGAAAGCATTCTAACTGGGAATTCATAGCTTTGCTGACCTGGACTCAGAGGCATGGGTTTTTCACACCCCTGAGCACTATAGCAGTGTTGACCTAACAGCAGGCCTAAGAGACCGTTTTTCCTGGTGGTGTTATTTATTTGCAGTGAGGTAGGCATCTAGGAGCTCCAACCATGGACCAGAATTCCATTGTTCTAGGAACTGTCCAAACACAGACCAAAAAGACCCCTGGATATAAGCAATTCATTTTAGAGACAAACTAAATTCTGCAGTTCTGTGTTCACAAACACTGATGCATGGAACTAACTACCATGCATGGTTTTAATCAGTAACTTGAACCTCTCAGGTCCACCATGTCCACATTGCGAGCCCTATCCCTTAGTATTTCTCAGCTAGTCAGTTCCACCCCCTTTGGGTAGCTTTGTGCCTTTGAAATCTGTAAGCTCATAAAATGCAGCTTTTGGTGAAAATAATTGTAGCTAGATTTCCTTTATCAGTGGCCTGTGCACATACTATTTCAATTTCACCCTGTGTTGCAGGATGTGCCATTTGAGTCAGGGAGCAGGAGTGGGGAAGGGGTTCTGCAGCGAAGTGGCTTGTAGCATATCCAGCCCCAGCTGTAGTTCCTTTTTAGTAAGTTGTGAAAAGCCATCCCTGTAGTTTGCAGATGGCTGTTGCACAGAAGCATTGAATAGTTGTCCAAACCTTCTCAATAAAGAGGACTTCTAGTAATGTTTTACCAGGACCCAAGACTGAAGCACGCTGGTCAAGGTTTGATCATAAGTGACTAGTAATTTTGGATGTCCTGAGCCATCTTAATAAGGCTGGATTTCCAGGAAGTGCTGGAAATGAAGTCCTTTCAAGGTGTCCCATGTTAGACACCTAAAAACGAAGGCATCTGAAATCACTAGTCACTTGAAAATCTTGCTCAGCCTGGGGTTCCAGCTCTGAAGATTGAGTAGCTCAGGAAGAAGCAGGCACTGTGTATCCAGCATCTGTGTACTCTGTTCTGAATTGTGCTGAACAAGGGAACATTTTTATTGGTTGTTTTTTAAATCTGATAAAGCCCTTTTCTTCCAGCCCACTTCGGCAATATGAGTTGCCAGTTGGAAAATGATGTTGCCTGATTCTTAGGCAGGAATGACTGAAGGAAGTGAAGTCATTATAACTCCTATCAGGCTCTCTGTGGGTGAATTTCCCTGGAAGCAGTGGGGCTCTCTCTGTGAGTGAAGGAGTAGGATTGGCCCCTACATTTCCAAAGAGGGTTACTACCATAAAACACACAATGGGACAGACCGATCATTCTGTAGTTCCTCAGTACCTAAACTTTGGCGTCGAGTCCTCTCTGAAACCAGACACTACCCTTCTGGGATTTTAATCAGCCTTGATCTGAAATTTACCAGATTGCATTGTTGGTATCTGATGTCCATGGAGATGCACATTGCACACCGTAGGAGATTTGTCCCACAGCCCTACTCGCAATGACCAGTTCAGTACTAAATTGTCAGTCAAATGCATTGTGGAGTTTAAATCTCCTGTTTTATTATTTCTAAAGGGTATTGTGCATAAAGATGCATCTGTTATAACAAACGTTAGTTTTAATAAAGCCATGTAACATGGCTTCATCAATCAGCACTCAGTTGTAAGCAGGAATATACAGAATATCACATAGTGTTCATTTGCCTCTAGAAACAGTGCTTTGAGCTAGCCAGTACTGACCACGGGAAAGCTACACTGGTTTCATGTAAAATACTTTGAGCTTTTGAAACTCCCTTTCTGTACTGACATACCGTTATTTATGTAGACAAAGATATGTGGTAACATTGCATGTAAAGGGTGTCTACTTTCGTCTTTAGGGAGTAGGGAAATAAATGTCAAAGCTGGAGTTCAGTCTAAATCAATTTTGTTGTCAAATTTTACTATACTATTTGTTGGGTTCAGTCCAGCCAGCAACATGACAAGCAGAAATAACTTTGAGCCATTTGCCATGCAAAACTGTTTTTAGTGTGGTTTTTCTCATTTTCTTGCTGGAAGATTTGTCTCTCTTTGTGACTACAAAGCTGTGAAATGGGTTGCCAAAAGATGTTGCCCTTTTGTTAAATGCTTTAAAAGGTGTGAACTTTCTATGGAACCCTGTCTATTCTTCCATTCCTACTTTTTGCTCCCCCAAGACCTAGGCATCAAATCCAACAATGTAGTTACACCATAAGCTTGCCATTAAAGAGCTTACCAAACTTTGATGACTTCTGGATTCTTTTCTGTGAGTGAAATAAGGCAAAACTGTGGTTCCAGGACAGAATATACAACTCAAAGAACGTGCTGTGAGAGAGAGAAGGAGCTGGGTATGAGCTTAATATCTTCTGTGCAGCACCAGTGTGTGATGGAACAAGTACAGTATTTGCAAATGTAAGGCACTGAATGAAAACTAGTTTTAAACCTTACAGATCAAGCTGTGTCTTGGGAAGCAGAATTCAGGACTACTAGCTGTTTTCAGCTAAATGGACCAATAGTGAATCTCAACATTAACAACATGAGGCAGTAGGTTCGCAGTCCTAAAACGAGTCACTGTTTCTCCACAGATTTGGGTTAAACACCTAATAAGTCCTCTGTCTTGTGGAAATTAGGGAGTTAAGCATTGTTTCTATATATAAATAAAAATGCCAGTACTCATCCATTGATACATCTGCTCTTTTAAAAGCAACTTTGAACTCTGCTTACCCAGATTTGTTTGAAAGACTACTGGGTCAGTCTAGTTTTCTACAGTGACTCCATCATCATTGGCTTTCTTGAAATACCTTTCTGTCTGTGGAAGAGCAGATATTTAACCGTAATGCTCTACATATTGTTTTGATAATTTTGGTGATTGGAATCATTCACCTTAACAGAGGGAACACCATTTAAGGGGAAAATGTCATGGGACGCTCAGTGGAGTATCCAGAACCATTCCCATTGGGGACAAGATGTCTGCTATTTGTGGATTAGGCAGGAAATTGGATTCCAGACCTGAAGAAGAGCTTAGTGTTAGCTCAAAAACTTGTCTCTCTCACCAATAGAAGTTGGTTCAATAAAAGAAATTACCTCACCCACCTTGTGCCTCTGAGTTTCACACAGCTCTTCAGAAGTCATAGAGCTTCAACACAATTTTCTGAGGCACATCCGCTTCTACTCCAGTAAAAGAGAACAAGGCTGTTCCAGTGATGTGATAAATTTGGCCTTGTTGTTGAGGAAAATTCCCTTAGAGTTTTATAGTTTGCTCCATCTGTAGCCTACAAATTGTAAATCTTGGCTGCTGCCTGCCCAGCCTCCATCATCAATCACAGTTGCAGCAAAAAGATGTATAATAAAAGCATGTAACCTGCACGAATCCATACACTATTTTAAAAAGCCCACAACAACAAACCATCTTGTCCTATAAGTCTCCATATTTCACCTTCCACATCATAAAAAAATTTTGTTCATACTTTTGTCACTTGGCCCCATCCTTTATTTTAAACACACAGGTTATGGTTTTGTGTGCTTTTCTCAAGGTATCAAAATGATAATGAAACTAGGGATTGGGGACAGTTGGGACCTAAGGTCCCTTTACAGAGCTGTGGCAGTGTAAGGGGGTCTTCAAGTAGGCATTAATGTAATGTACACTACTTTCAGGCGCTTCTACACTGCCAATGGTGTGAAGAGGCCTCAGCATCAATGGAAATTCAGGCCTTTGTATTTTTTGTTTTTTGATTGTAGTCCCCTAGAGGTCAGTGTAACCTAAATTGTGAGTGACTCACTCCTAAGGAGGCTATTCACTTCTCGGTTTGTATTCCGTACTAGCTTGTGAGATGTCTTTGCAATGTCATATATCTCCCTCACTGCCTGGGAAGCAGGGCCGATGAGACTAAAAGAAAAAAATAGGTAAGGGGGCAGAAAAACTCTCATATGTTGTGAGACAAGGAAATTTTGCTTTGAATCTAGATGGGCTAAGAAACCAATCACAGTAAAATAGTGAAAAGACATCATTCAGAGGTAGGCCAGTTTTGTTTTTGTTTTTTCAAATGGGTCTATGGCAATTAGGTGCCTATTTGAAAGTCAGGGGAGCTGGTATCTATCTTTTTAGTCCTCTGGAAAACCCAGCCTAAAAATGACTCATGACCACTTGAGTTTACTGTTTCGCTACTGTGCTCTCTAATGATCAAATTGTAGGCATGGGTCAGTTGACAGATGCACTCTTTAAGGCCAAATCTACACTGACCCTGAGATTGAAGCTTTTGAAATCGAGCTTCTGGGTTTGATTTAGCAGATCTAATAAGGACCTGCTAAATTGACTGCTGATATTGCTCCACAGGGTTGTGAGGAGTAAGGGCAGAAAGAGGTGGCACTGAGGCTTGGGGAAAGGGGTGGAGTGGAGGGGGAAAGGTTGAGCACACACACTGCCCCAACTAACGCAGATGTCAGAGCCTATGTCTACTGCTGCTGCTTTTCTCTTCAAGGGAGTGGTAAGTGCCATTGTTAACACTCATGCAGGTTGCTTTTGAAAGTGAAAGCCAGCAATTTAATTTTAAAATACAAAAGTTTTTATTTTGTGGTAAAGCAAAGCAGGGGAAGGGAGGACATGCCAAAGCCTACCACCGGGAAGTTAAAGAAGGAAACCATTGGGTTTGTATCATAAGGTAACAACTTGTCATGTTGGCACTTACTATGATATCTAGTGAGAAGCTCTTTGCTTACCGATGTGAACTGCATGTGAAAAGAGAGTGCCTGGAAATGAGTTAAAACCAGATTTTACTGTATTAGCTCAGCAGTTTTAAAAGCCCCATGAAAGTGTGAACAACAGAGTCTCGTTCTTCTCTAGCTCTTTGGCTTAATCCTAGAAGAGTTGATTTTGCAGCCAATTCCTACTATTTGTGTCTGACCAGCCTTGGTATCGAAAATTTCCCAAGATTTCATGGCTGTGCCTTTGCCTTCCATCTCTAGGAATTGTTGGAGTCATCAGCCGGTTCATAGAGTCTCCTTCAATACCGCCTGGGCACTGCCTGCCCTACTGTTACTGGTGCTCTAGTTCTCAGTGCCCAATCCAAGTACTGCCATGTGGCTAGACTCCCACACTCCTTGGTTTCCTGGCATTAATAATCTTCTGAAGAGTCTTACTTCTCTGCATGGATGGAAGCTCTCTCCAATTTTCTGGTTACTCTTCCCTTATACTTGCACTGCCTCAAGTAGCTGCACTTCCCCCTGGGAATGCAGGCTCCTATAGTTTGACATTTATTCTGTCGTTGCATATGCAGAACTCTCATTGATGTTAATAGGAAAGAAAAGTAAGAGGTTCTGTTTGTACGGTGTAATGTTGCAGTACAGGGAAACACCAACTTTCTCAGGTCTTCATTAAACATCTAAGCACTGAAATGAGCAGGAAAGCGGATTTAATGCCTGATCTCCACTGGAAAATAAACACATGTATGGCTAAAATGTAGAGTTGTGCATGTCTGATTGTAAGTAGCTGGTCACCCCTGTGCTCCATTGTCCCTGAGATGAACATTTCCCCAACATTTCAAAAGGGCAAATGAAGTTTTCCCACCTTTTATTCATTTAGTTCTATTAATAATAACTTTCCCCTTGTGAAGCCATGCAAACCTCCATTAAAGATGATTTATTTATAGGTGGAGATGAATTGTCACTGACTTAAAATAAAACAAGCCCCTGGCTGTAGCAGAACAATATATTCTGAAATTAGAGAAAGCATGGATCAAATTCTAGCTCAGCTTACACTCTGTGTCCCCCCATTGTCTGCCGTTAAAATGCAAGGCAGGGCACAAAAAATTCCCCACAAATAGTGTCCAAGGGTAAAGGTTGTATGTTCCTGAGAATATTGTTAGTGGCAGTTACAATCTCCACTGCTGTGGCAGGCATTCAGATACCACAGTGATGGGCGTAACATTAAAACTTAACTAGATATGAACAGCTACACTGGAGAGTAGAAGACATAGGTGATATGAAAGCAGAGTGAGCAGAAGTTAGAGGTGGAAGATACCTACTAGATCTTTATTATCTATTTCATATTTAAGGGCGGAAGAATATACCCTGTATGTATATTTAACCAAAAGGCTGAGATTCCTCATATATAAGGCCTATGTTGTTTTGTCAGTGCTAGTAGAACCCAAGGGCTAGCTACAAATTCTTTATAAAATTTAACAAATGGAACAGAAATGAAACACGGGAAATAACGAACTGGACAAACATCCTTCTTAGGCATCAAGAATCTGGGCTTAAAATGACTGTTCAAATTGCTGCCTTCAATTTTATGTCCTCAGCTATTCAATACATGTGTGAGATTTCTGTATTTCAGTGTACAGAGCTCACCAGACTATGCCTGTAGAGTTACAAATATTTAAGAATGTAGATCATAATAAATCCATGTGAAAATGGCAGCAATACTGTTAATGGAGCATCACGGCTTAGTATTAACTAACATCATTGTCAATGCTGTAGTAGATATGAGAGAAATGTTTGTTCCAGGACTCCCACCAGGTTGAGTAAGGTTCATGGGTGGCCCGTCACTGAGATTACATTGTATGGGCTCTTCGAGGTTGGGGCACTGAGCTGCTATGTGGCCCTACTCCCTGCATCCATAACATCTATAATTGCTCCTCTGGCCCAATGATGAAATGGGTTTAGCCATGGGGTCAAGCTTCCATGTTCTCAATAGATCTCTGGCTGCCCTCTTCTTCCATCTAGGGCTCTGGGCACCTCAACTCCCATGGTTAGCATTGGTGGCCTGCCTCACCTGGGGCCTTTCCTATGCAGGCGAGTTAATGTCCTTGCTGTCACTCATCTCTCCACCAATGCAATGGTCTCATCATAGGTGGTGGGGTCATGTTGGCCTACCCAAGCGCGAAGGAATGGTGGCAATTTCGACATGAACTGGTCGATGACCACTGTCTCCAAAACCTCCTCCCAGCTGTGCAGTTCAGATCACAACCATTTTCATGAGAGATGAATCCGGTTGTTCAGCTGGGACCTCAGCGGCTTACCCTCTTGATATTTCCAGTCATGATACTTCTGGGCCCGTACAGCTGCTGTCACCCCTGACTGGGCCAGGATGTCCCCTTTCAGCCGGGGATAATCAGCTGTGTCCTTGGCCGGCAAATCAGAGTAGGCCTTCTGGACCTCACCATGGAGAAATGGGGTGAGTATGCTGGCCCACTGATCCTCAGGCCATGTCTCTTGCTGAGATGTTCTCTCGAATGATAGAAGA